ATCATAGAATCATAGAATCATCTGGTTGGAAGAGACCCTCAAGATCATCGAGTCCAACCGTTTACCCTACACTGTCAGGGTCCCTAAACCATGGTCCTCAACACCAAATCCACACAGTTTTTAAACAACTCCAGGGATGGGGACTCCCCCTCTTCCCTGGGCAGCCTGTTCCAATACTTCACAACCCTCTCTGGAAAGAAATTTTTCCTGATATCCAACCTAAATTTCCCCTGGCGTAACCTGAGGCCATTCCCTCTTGTCCTGTCATTCATAACGTGGGAGAAGAGACCGACCCCCATCTCCCTACAACTTCCTTCCAGGTAACTGTAGAGAGCGATAAGGTCCCCCCTGAGTCTCCTCTGCTCCAGACTGACCAGTCCCAGCTCCCTCAGCTGCTCCTCATAGGACAAGTTCTCCAAACCCTTCACTAGTTTCGTTGCTCTTCTCTGAACCCGCTCCAGCACCTCAACGTCCTTCTTGAAGTGAGGGGCCCCAAACTGGACACAGTGCTCCAGGTGTGGCCTCACCAGTGCTGAGTACAGGGGGACAATCACCTCCCTCCTCCTGCTGGCCACACTGTTTCTGATCCATGCCAGGATTCTGTTGGCTTTCTTGGCTGCTTGGGCACACTGCTGGCTCATGTTCAATTGGCTGTCGACCAGCACCCCCCGGGCCTTCTCTGCTGTGCAGCTTTCCAGCCGCCCTTCCCCAAGCCTGGAACGCTGCAGGGGGTTGTTGTGGCCCAAGTGCAGGAGGATATCCCATGAGGATGAGCTTATCCCATGAGGATGAGCCCTGTGCTACTGCTTTGACTCCCAGCAGTGAGAGCTGTCCGGAGCTCTTGGCGAGGTGGCTGTTCCTGTATCCCCTTTGTTCATCTTTGCATGTTTTCACACTTCAGTTGTCTTCAGTAACTGGTGGATTCCAGGGGGCATCTTTTCTCTCTGGGGTGGCCCTCAACCAGTCCTCAGCACCACTTGGATATGCAGGTACATCACTTCCAATTTTTGTCTTGCTCAAGGTTAAATGTTACACAAACTAGTTAACAAATTAACATGCACCTTCTGTATTTGGATTATCTCGAAATCTACAGATCCTGACCAGTGGTGGAGTGAAATCATGGAGCTGAACACAGGCTGGAGGCTTTTTCTTGGTGGGTGTGGCAGGGGAGGTATAGCGAGGGCTTTAGAAAAGAAGTAAACAGATGGAGGCCTCCAAAAAACCCCCCAAACCCCAAAATGAGTGTGCTGAGGTTTCTAAGACAGGGGCTGCTGAAGCACCTGGAGAGCTCTGCTAGGGGAAAAGGAGAAGGGAAAAAGGTGGAGCTGTCCAGGAGCTTTTCCTCTTCGCTTTTCCCGAAGCTGACTCGAATCCAGCAAGACACCGAGGTGACACTGCAGCCTCTAGTGGCTAAAGGCACCACAACAGATTCCCCAAAAAGCCAGGTGGGCAATTAAGATGATGAGCCTGGCAACTGTGCAAGTGTCTTGCATGTAACAGTCAATGATGTAGAACGTGGCTGCGCTGATGGTGTGATGTGTGAGAATATAAATATTTTTTTTTTGGAGGGGGTGGGAAGTATTGGAGAGGGAAAAAAACACAGACTCTGGTACAGAGAAATGCAAAAGCTGGTTTTGCTGCAGTATTTTTAAGAATTGCGTGGGTTTGAAGGAAAATATTCCTAAAAGGGGCAGATTTTTCAGAGCTGGACTTCTTGTAGGGTTGGGTGGTTTTGTTGGCTTTACTTCTAGTTGTAACAATTTTTGACTATTTGATAGCTGATTCTCCTGAGTCAAAATACAATACCTGGAGCTAGAGCTTTCGAATCTCCTATACGGAGATCAAAAAAAAAAAAACCAAAAAACAGGACATCCTCCTACAAGGAGGAGGTCTGCTCTCTGCAAAACTTGTGGGTTTTTTAACAATTTGAAACTTGATGAATGGCTGCTCACAAGTCCCAGTGGAAAAAGTAAATAAGAAATAAGTAAGAAATTATAAACCAAACCTTAAATTTTGTAACAATTTCCTGTAGGGAATTTGACAAAAACCAAGCTTGCCCCTAAAAGTTTTGCTTTCAGTAAAATCCCCATTTTATCAGATATCTCAGCAAACAAACAACTCTGTCCATTTCAGGACTTTGCAAGCAAAGCACAAACCTGGAAATTTGCAATAATGCAAAGTCCAAAACAGCTCATCCATCCCAGCGTGAGGCCAATCTTATTTAGCTTGATGATCTTGGATTTTTCTGGATTCAGAGCGTAAACTTGTTTGTAACGGACATACATGGTGGCCATACCTGTTCACGAAGAACCCAAATGCAGTAAGATTTTCAGCTGAGGAGCAGACTGTCCTTTTCTAACTGGGAAGAGGCTAAGTGACAGAGGCAACTATTTAAAACACAAAAACTGTCTTATGGCACACTGAAGTAGAAAAGTTGAGAATCTGAAAGTCAAAGCTGAAATAATACAATGGTAAACGAGTCATCTTACTAGATTTTTCAGATCTCTTTCATTTGAAAGACACACTAGGTTGTTTCCCCCCCACCATAATTGCAGCACAAGTGAGGAGACTGCCTTGAATTTTCATTTCTATTTCTTTTACTAGTCTGCTGGGTATTTTAAAACACGTTTTTGCCCTTCTGAAATCTGCAGCTGTCATGCTGGCTTTGTGGATAACATCCCTGACATACACTTTCCTCTGAATTGCTTAAAAGAATTAAGATTAATTGGTTTGAGTTTAGTTTTTGACTGAGAATTATGGGCTGCCTAATGATCTGAATAAGGCAATTAAATCATTTTAAACTGTGTGCATTCCAGAACTGCCTGCAGTTTACCAAGGACAGCTTTCTATACTCACCTAGGAAAGCTGAAATATTTAACATGATCCCAAATAAGCATCTTTCAGGTGGTATCGTCCCTGTATCACTGGAAGAGATAAATGGATATTATAGATACATACATACAGATAATATGTATGTATCTATACTAAAAATACATGCAACACAGCCATACTTATTTCAGTCTACAAAGGAACCGTAAGAAACAGGTTTGTAAAAAAACCAACCAAAACCCTCCTAGATATTTTTCACTGAATTTTTCCTTACTCAAACTATACTGTGCTAGTTTTAGAGCTGTAGAAACAAGCATGTTAAAGACACGCTGTCCTCAGAACAAGGAATCAACATACTTGGTATAACTATTGCTTTTATATTGATCTTGAGTCCATAAAAGGTGAATAAAGAGCATTGAAACGAAAAACGAAGAACCTGGAAAACTGTTACTGACCTGATGTAGGGCACCAAAGGATCGACGTGGTGTAGGACGATCGCAGTAATGTATGAAAACACAAAAGATGCAGCTGACCAAACAACCAAAGCCGTGGGCAACACAGAGAGGCCTTGCTGAAACCACCACATTTTGGTGCTGACTTCCCACTCCGAACACTGCGAGGAACCAAAGACAAAGGCTGACTAGCGTTTCTCAAAGGTTTTGCTTTTCTCGAGGCAAGCTGCCTCAAATACAGCAATTCGATCTTGCTCTAAGTCCTGTCCTGCAAACCCAAGGTGGTTATTTGACTTCATGGCACAGAAGCAATCATAAATAAGCAGAGACAACATCTGGAAATGCTAATTCTGAAATTCGTAAAAGACCCTGAGAAAAGAAACCGGAAGTGTCACTTTACTACGTGTCTTAGCATTTGTGTCTGCCAGAATAAGGTCAAATGGGTCACTGTGAATAACAGTCTCTATTTTCTTCTTACCCTTGTGTCACAACACAATTAGAATTAGTGAGGATGACAGAGAACGTGTCCCAGTAGTGACAGTTTAACCAATAGTGGCTGTTGTGGAGCCTCTAAATTCCATTAACAATCAACTGGGCAGATGTGGAAGAAACGACCTAAAATTACTTTAATATCTACACTAATTTACTACCCGTCATGCTGTGTGACTCAACATCTGTCATAAGCATCACTTCACAACAAGCTCACAGGTATCAATGAGCAAGAGCTGACCGCTGCCAGCCACAGCCTTCAAACTCAAGGGCTACTCATTCCTGGTGGCAGAAGAGTAGCTACCTTGTTTGTACAGGCAGGAGGAAAAGGTCCATTTACCCTGGAATGAAATGGCTAACTGTCCAGTTCCCCAAGCCCCAGCCTGATGGCAAATCTGTGTCTCTACCTCCAGTTGTCCAAGAACAATAACGTGCAGTTGCATCACCCTGGTGAGCTCACGCAGAAAGAACTGTGACTCCTCTCTACTCCTGGTGCTAGAGGGAAGGAATTTTCTATCGGCTTCAAAGTTACGCAGAGCTGATTTCAGAATCCCAGAATGGCTGACGTGGGAGAGGGCCTCTGGAGGTCAACTTGTCCAAGCCCCTGCTCAAGCAGGGCCACACGGGTCTCTTGTGCAGGAGGGCTTTTGAATATCTCCCAAAGATGGAGATACTACAACCTCCCTGGGCAACCTGCCTCAGTGCTTTGTCATCCTCACGGTGGAAAAGCATTTCCTGATGTTCAGACAGAACCTCTTGTGTTTCTGTTTAGAGCTGTAGAAACAAGCATGTTAAAGACACGCTGTCCTTAGAACGAGGAATGAACATACTTGGTATAACTTTTGCTTTTATATTGATCTTGAGTCCATAAAAGGTGAATAGAGAGCATCGAAACTGGAAAAACGAAGGCCCACTGCCTCTGGTCCTGTCACTGGGCACCACTGAAAAGAGCCTGGCTCCGTCCTCTGTCCTCTTTGCATCCTCCCTTCAGGCAGGGAGATGAGATCCCACCTGAGCCTTCTCTTCTCTGGGCTGTACTTGCCCCTGTGCTTTATGCTGTTTCACTGATGGCATTGCCTTATGCTTACAATGGTGAAAGAGTACAGAAAGTGTTTCGGTGGAGTCGAAACTGGCAACCGTAAATGGCATATGAAACAGGACAAAAGCAAAGAGCAAATAATAAAGAGTCCAGATCCAAGGGCATCCGGGCAAAGATCAAACAGTACGTGAGAAAAGCAAAACAATGCTGAGACAAAACAGGAAGGAGTGCAGCACTGAGAGGTTTTGGGAGGCAGGCGTTGCCTAGAGTGGGAGAGACTGAAAGAAAGGAGAAAAAGGAAGAAAGAGATAGGAAGCACCAAGACTAGAAAGTCTCATGGGAGGAAAAAAGAACTTGAAATAAAAGTGGGTGAATCTTACAACAGATCAGAGCTTATAGAATCACGGAATGGTTTGGGTTGGAAGGGACCTCAAAGATCATCTAGTTCCAACACCCCTGCCATGGGCAGGGACACTCTCCACTACACCAGGTTGCCCAAAGCCTCATCCAACCTGGCCTTGAACACTGCCAGGGATGGGGCAGCCACAGCTTCACTGGGAAACCTGCTCCAGTGCCTCACCACCCTCTGAGTGAAAAACTTCTTCCTTATATCCAATCTAAATCTCCCCTCTTTCAGTTCAAAGCCATTGCCCTGTGTCCTGTTACTACACACCCTTGTAAAAAGTCCCTCCCCAGCTTTCCTGTAGACCCCCTTTAAGCACTGGAAGGCTGCAACTCCTTTTATCAACTCCTTTGCATCTCGCTGAGGAGCCCTCAGCACTCCTCTGACATGGATTTACTGCACTCAGCAGCACTCGGTCCCAGGCAGATCGCTGGCATTCCACAGCGTGTCTTGTTGCTGACCTGTGCCGGCACCGTGTCCAGGAGAGCTTGTGGAAAGCCAGGCTGACAGATCCATCACATAACACGAGAATTGCTCATTTACCAGAAACTGGTCACTGTCTTGCATTTGTGCTGCTTTTCAGCCTAAAACCTTCGTGGTTCAAGTGAGGACAACAAGCTCTGGCACGCTCCTGGGAGGTGACAAAAGCCAACTCTAACTGATGACCTTTGAAAAGAACGTAGCTACACCCTCGTAGTAGTTACACCCTGATAAAACTGTTGGTTCAGCTGCTTGTAAGGAAGAAGTTGGGCGCAGATAAAGGTGTCTAACAGGAGAGGTGATGAATAAGAAGAGAGTGAGAAAGTTGCTTGCTTCCTTACCCTTAAGCTTTCATTTTGAAGCCAAGTATAACATTTGCCCTTTAATTTTAAGCCTGTAATGCAGTAAAAATAAATAGTAATTAACAGAACTTCACAATCCCACCTCCTGTAAGAGTAAACTGGGGATTTGTATCACAGAAGAAGGCGTATTTGGCATGGCATTCTCTGTTACGGATGTTACATGCCTGGGCGTGTCATTCAAAACTTCCTGCGGTCAGTCTGATGCTTCATTTTTACTTTTCCTTTAGCATTTAAATCTTCCCAGTGCCTGAGCTTTATTTCTGAGCAAACAGACATTTTTGCCTGAGAACAAACCAAACGATATGCCACATACCTGAGAACAAGGGCATCAAAGCAAACGTCACCTCAAGGGGAATCCAGAGTCATCTTGTTGGTGAAGTTCCACATTCGCTTCATTTTTTCCTAAATCTTTGAGATATAAAGGAAAATAATCAACATGTGAGTTACTTTTATACCCTACTCTACAGTATTTATTCTCCTCCTTAGCATCTTTGATTAGTTGCTGCTGAGTGAACATTGGATTAGATGGCCTGACACAGTATGCTTTTCTTATGTTCCAAGTGGTTTAAGGAGTGAAGCACGTGCATGGTGGGATGGTAGAAATGCAAAAAACCCCCAGGTTTTTAAGACTTTTTGATGTATAGGACTTGCCTGCACAAAGATTTAACTTGAAATGAGACGCCTTCAAGGAAAGAAAATGAATGCAAGTGCTTTAATGCAATCAAAACCAGTGCCTGTAATCACTGCTTTCCTGTAAGGAGGAGGACAGGACAGAGTCTTCCCGTTTCATGGCGGACGGGCATCCCAATGTGATGCCAGTGCCACACTAAATATGTGCCAGGGTGGGTGCTGAGGCGCAGCAGCAAGCAACCTGAATTTAATCAGACATCCCACAGCTCCTGGCTTCTCTCCGCCGTTGTCACGCACTGAAGGAATGGTCAGAGAGGAGAAACCGCACCGCCTTCCGTGAGCTGGTGGCACTGACCAGCTCCTGCAGACGTCCGCCGCGCTCGGGGTGCTGGGCAGACGCAGCTCTGGGGCACTGCTGCCAGGCGGGCAGTGGCACTGTGGGGGTAAGGCTCACAGACAACGTGGGTTCTCCACCTGTTGGGAGTTATTTCCACGCGTACACAGATGAATTTACCTGGCCTAAGGTGACGTTAGTAAACCAGAACTGCTGTTCCCAGTTTCCCCCCTAGCAGAACTGCTGTTCCCAGTTTCCCCCCGGACACTGCTCTTAGAGCTCACCAGCAATACCTGCTCCGGAGCAAGCCCTGCTGCAGAGCAGCCCTCTGTCAGTCACGACAGCTGAAGGCACTTTCGTGTCCTGAGGGGTTTTTAAAGCCTCAGGCTGAGTATCATAGATCTTTTCCGTGACAGACATTATCAAATCATCATCAGGAGCAAGTCAAGGAAGTGTTTCAAGCGCAAAGGAGATTTTAATGATCTCTGAGGTTTTCCTTTGAAGGCAGGAAGTGTGCAGCAGCGTTCTGCACGTACTTGAGCATAGAATCACCGAATCATGGAATGGTTTGGGTTGGAAGGGACCTCAAAGATCATCTCGTTCCAAGCCCCTGCCATGGGCAGGGACACCCTCCACTACACCAGGTTGCTCAAAGCCTCATACAACTTGGCCGGGAACATTCCCAGGGATGGGGCAGCCACAGCTTCTCTGGGCAACCTGCTCCAGTGCCTCAGCACCCTCAGAGAGAACAATTTCTTCCTTAGATCTCATCTAAATCTCCCCTTTTTCAGTTTAAAGCCATTGCCCCATGTCCTGTCACTACATGCATGTGGGATAGAAACTACAATGAAAATAAAAGGTGGCCAAGACCATGAATGGCAGAAAGTTAATGTTACCTAGAATGGTAACGCTGGTCAAAAGTACACAGGGAAAAGGGAAATTCCTAAATTAATGCTGATACTCTGATTGTCAACTCTTCCCTGCTCTCTCAGCAAAACGGGCAGAGATAAAGCCAAACTAAGGGATACTCCTTGTTCTCTCCAGTAAAATACTCCAGCAGACGCCGTGTTGAAGGAAGAAAGACAAAGCAATTTGCCACGTGCCTTCCCAGGTAAGCACGAAGGGTGGATGGGGATGACTCAGAAAGAGATTTAACATCTTGGTTTGCGCAATTTATTGCCAGGGTCAAACTGATACCAATGGCTAAAGGGTACTCATCCTCACAGGACCAGAAGTAAGAAAGCAGGAAACGTGTCACCTTTGTTGTTCTCACTGCAGGGTAATGATGGGTCACTCGTTTTGAGTCCTTTCTCGGTACAGACACCAAAAAAACCCTATTAAAACTATTAAAACTTCATGATTAAAACTTCTCAGCTTCCAGAGAGTTGAGGTGAGGA